AAACGAAGACATCCTTCAGCTTTTAAAGATAAGGTGACAATTAACTGATTTGCACAAGCAGGAAAAGTGCAGTTGAAAACAGGAAAGCAAGACAACAAACCTGTCTCATGTGCAACAAAGGCTAACGCATGTTAAGCAAAAAACCAAATGACGCTCTGAAGAATAAACTGCTTCTTTAGATCATAGTGACAACATTCCAGTTACCCTGATTTATTATGGAACTACCAATTGGTAAAAAGAACAGAGGAAAATACCAGATAGTTCTCACAGTAGCAGCCCTAGTACCCATGCAACTTAAACAATTATCAGCCTACATTTAGGAAAACTGTAAGGACCAATCCTTCAAGAGAGGATGAAGCGACACCAAAAGGAACTATCCATGTTTATGATTCTCTTTGATGACAGAATAACTCACCCTGGTTTCCACTTCACATTTAATGAGAAAAGGCGTTGAAGAGCAGCACAAAAAGAACAAAGGTAAGAAGAGAGTTAGTTTTTAATCAACTCACAACAGTGACATTCTCTCTACTTTTTTATTTGATTAATTCCCTTATTTCATTCCTATGTCTTTTTATTGGCAACTGTACACAAAAGGGTTAAGTGTACAAAGCAATCAACCAGACTCAACACTTTGCTAGTGACTGTGCAGTTTCTTGATTGGCCAGCTGTAGATCAGATTAAAAGCTATAATCACCTGGCTAATTAAAACTTGCCTGACATATAACAAACTAACAGAAGTTACGAAACATTAGAATATATACCTTACTAAAAACACACTATCTTTATATGTTGCCAACCACGAACACCACATTTTCTCTAAGGTACTTTGAAGGAATTCTGACATATCCATACGCCATAAAAATCTGTAGAGTTGCTTTTCCTTCCACATTGATCATTAAAATGCTGGGGGAAAAAAAGCCCAAATTTCTCCCTATATTACATCAAACTGATAAACACCTATGTCTCCATTTGATAATATCTAGCTTGATTTGAAAAATCCCTGTCCTGAAGGATTTGCAATTTAAATATGTCAAAGAATGTGGAAAAAACAACAGCAACAAAGAGTTAAGGGAGAAGACAGTGAAAAGAGAAACATCAGCAAGACTGAAATAAATGCTAATAAAACTCATGCTGCTCTTTGTCCAAGACTTTAAAAGGTTTAATCTACCTGAATATTAAAAATGAGGTAAGCTTTCTCAGCCTCTAAAAACATCATGTGCTTTATACCTTTTGTAAGGGATTCTAGAATAACAAAGTAGCAAGAAAAGTGATGTTTTAAAAGCTACTGTAACTATGCAGGTACTTATCAAACCGATTTTTCTTCATTTCATTTCTTTCAAAAACACAGCGGTAAAAACACAATCAATCCTGTAGAATGAACTGATCTTACCTTGGCACTGGAGGGAGGGCACGTGGGGGGCACTGAAACATAACAGAGAGACAGAAGTCAGCTTCTCCCAGTGCAAAACCATCCCGAGGTCTGTTAAACCACTCCACAGAGGACAGCTGCTTCCAGAGGCAGTAAGAACTCACACTATATGTTTTGCCACCTATGCTTCTGAAACCAGATTCTAAACATCTCACACATAACCAAATACATAAAAAGTAAGAAACAAGTATCTCCCATTACCAATCTGAAATGCAATTCTTGCACTGGATGATTCCCATCCAGATGCAGGCAAGCAATTCACTTGCTGATTTTGCATTACATAATTATATTTAAGTAGTACAGCATGAAACATTTCCCATGTTCCAAGAATTCAGTCGATACCAGCAACACAAAAGGCTGCTTGACCAGTAAGGCTCAAGGGTCCCCAACTCACCACTTGTTTTTTCCCCATATCACTGGAAGCAGTTCCCTGGAAGAGGCACTGTGAACAGTTCTCCACTCCTGACGTCGCTCATGCTGAACCCCCGCTAATTCTGAACTAAAAATAAGCTTCTGGCAGCCCGGATTAGCTGGCTATGAACCTCCCTGCCCCTGGGCCAGGGCCCAGTGCTACTCCTGCTGGAATCAATGGTAGTTTGCTCTGGCAGCAAAGCTCGTCCTAAAGAGCACCCGCCCCAAAACCGCATCGCTCCATGCGCCGTTAGAAGTTCAGGTGAGCACTATTCGGGGATTTTCACCTGACAGATGAAACACCCTGAGTGAGGAAGGGAGAAAAAAAATCAACCTAAGTTTAGCTCAGGACTCATTGCTTTCATTGATTCCTACGTTGGGGAGGAATCTATCGTTAATTATTTAGGACAGGTCCAAGATCCGCAGCCCTTAGTTGCAGCTCCCCAGGGCCCGTAGGAGCACGCCGCAGACCCAGAGCGCAGTGCCGGCTGCAGGAGAAGGGGCCGTTCGGAGCCACCAGCCCCGCACACCGCGCACTCCCGGCACCATTACCGTCCCGTGAGCAGCCGCAGGGCCACGGGAACGCGCCTAGGAACTCTCCGAGGAGGAAATACACCCGCGGCCGGGGGTCTGTTCAGGGAAGCAGAGCGAGAGGTGCGGCTCCGGTAACGCGGCACCAGCAACGCGTTTGCCCTGCCAGCGCGGTGACCGAGCTGCCCCAGCGGGCGTCGGTTCTTCAAACTCAACACATAACGCTGGCGAACTCTTTACGGGCCTCGAGCTCATCATACTCGTTATCCTGCGAACGCACGGGGATGGAAACGCGAACGCAACGTGGGCTCTCAGCCCCGGCCCCGCTCCCTCCGCCAGGGCAGGCCCTCCCCGGCCGCACCGAACCGCCGCCAACGCCCGCACCACGGCCGAGGCCGGAGAAGGCTGAAGGCCCGGCCCCCCGCCACCCTTTTCTGGGGAGCCCCGCCGCGCCCTCACCCGCTCGGGGCCCGCCCGCGGCTCCGCCATGCCGCGCCCGCCGCCGCCGTCCCGGGCCCCGCAGGGAGGAGCCGCCGCTCGCTTCCGCCCCGCCCCGCCGCTACGGGCGCGATCCTCGGCTGCACGGCCGGCCGCAGAGCGGAGCTGCCCGCACGGATTCTCAGGCCGGGGGGGGGGGGGGGGGGGGGGGGCG